CTCCATTTATCATCTCTTTCTTGTTTATTCTCTCGCCTCTCTCTCCAATGTTCTGCGGTAAAAATTATCATATGCAGTTTGGTCTGACTGCATTCTCATAAGTTGCTGAACCATTTCATTCTTTATCAATATAATCCAGACATGGTCTTATTCTAACTTTTTATCTAATGCTGGTATTCGTAACTCTGTCTCGTCTAGTGTTGTTAGTGACCTTGTGAATACAACGCATTTCACATGTAATTATTTTATGTTCTAGTGCCTTATTCCTTGTCCATGTTTGGCACTGATAACATAAATTAGGGACGTAGATGCAATTAGTCATTTGCTGTTTTGCTAGAAGGGAGACATTTGGGTGTCTAAGCAGTGGGGCTGACTAATAGGTAATGGCATTCTGTACACTGTCTTCTATCTCTTTGTCGAGTCTACCATGTTCCGTATATATGCCGCCTAGATAATTGAACTCTCGTACTTGTTTGACTGTAGTACCGTTAACATGAACGTTCATGATATTGTGTTTCCTGCCTATTCTTATTACCTCAGTTTTCACGGTGTTTATTTTCGTATCATACTGTGTTCAGGTTTGATATAAGGAATCAGTATGGTGTTGTAATTCTGTTCTTACTGATGTATTAGACATTGATCGTCTGCAAAAAAAGATTTTCATTGATTTCTTCAGTGTCTGTATTTGCCTTCTGTGATATTATATCCATGTAAGTAATGTATGGCAATGGTGATGGAACACATCCCGCTGTGACACCTGATGAGATGGGAACCAAGTATGTCATTGTTTCTGTTGTTTCTCCTGTGCACTGACTGTCTTGGTAAATAGCCATGATGTTACCCAAAAGTTGATCTTGAATACCATAATCTTCCAGCATTTTCCATAGTTTGCATATATTGACTTGATCAAATGCCTTCTCTTGATCTATGAAAATTAGCTGTTGAATTATATCGTATTCAATAGACTGCCACATATTTACCCAAAGAAATTATTGCATCTGTACAGCTCTTTACCTTCTTGAAACGTAACTGTCTTTTACTTAACTGGGGCTCTAGCAACGGTCGAGCTCTGAATTCCAATATTTTTGCAAACATCTTTCCAGTATGGTTCAAGATGGAGATACCCAGAGGGAAGCTTAGCCTTCTTAAAGTGTAGGTTACATGGTGATTCAGGACGACCTAAATCATTTTGTTAGTTGGGAAGGAAGCCGCTCAAGGTTCCTAATCCCTCATGTTCCTAAGCACCTGGATGTTGCTAAAGATAGCTTTGTGCCCAGAGCAATGAATAAGACAAAAGAATTAGATCAGAGGAAAGCGGTGCTCAGAGCAAACTGGGTAATATTTCCAGTTGCCCACATAAGGCCACCTGGCTTTTCTATAGACATCAGCAGATGCCTTTCTTGTACTGCAGTGGTGGCCAGTCTTTTCACGTCTGGAGACTACTTTTTATTTCCAGAAACCCTCGGCGGTCTACTTCATAGGTAGACTCAAAAGCTAAGACTACTAAAGAGGATCTTCATGTGAAAACAAATACTGAACAGGGGTTCGCTTGAATAGAAAAGAAAATTAAAAACATGTATGACAATGATCGTGAAGTTGTGGCAGGGAAAGGTCAGGTGGTACCCGGTGCGGAAAATTTTATGTTACCACTCCATTCCCCCGCCTAACATATTTTAACTTATTTCGACAGCTCTTATTTTTGCCATATTGTTACACCCCCCCCCCCCCTTTTCACCCAGACACACGCATCATTTTTAACTGCAAAAACACATGGTTTGTTACTGCATTTTGACTCCCCTCAAGATAATACCTGTTGAGGCTTGTATCCCATTACTACGCCACTGCTATAAAGTGAACACGCAAAGTCCATCTTATAGAAATAGTTTTTATTTTTTTAATGTTAAAAATATTAGGGTTTATAAAAAGAAACATTTATAAAAAAATGTAAAAAATTCACACACTTACTTACCGAACTTCAGAAAATTGCTGTTAAATTAAAAAATGATTCCCCACCTCTTGCCACTGATAATTCATACTAAAAAAAAAAAAAAAACGTTTAAATGTCTTATGTTATAAGCATATCAGATGACATAAAACCATCTGGTAAATGATTTGGTTAATTGTTTGTACAGTTCATTTCTAATTGTGATCGCCACAAACCATAAGGTATTTGATTGGCCATTCGTGTATACCCTTCATTCAAAATGTTCACCTCAATAATAAATCGTCGACAGCGAACAGTCTTGATGTTCGTGTTTTAAAGTCACTGTATTACTGGAGTCTTCTCGTCTGTCTTGTCATCCAACTGAACGTAAACTCCTAACCACCTCACGTCAAGCTTCCCTCCCAACACAGTTTCTTGGTGGTCAGAGTTTGCAGAGTTGGAGTAGCTGACATTGTGAACAACGGACATTTGTGATGTAGGCGACAGTGTGAACAAGGGACATTTGTGATGTAGGCGACAGTGTGAACAACGGACATTTGTGATGTAGGCGACAGTGTGAACAACGGACATTTGTGATGTAGGCGACAATGTGAACAACGGACATTTGTGATGTAGGCGACAGTGTGAACAACGGACATTTGTGATGTAGGTGACAATGTGAACAACGGACATTTGTGATGTATGTGACAATGTGAACAACGGACATTTGTGATGTAGGCAACAATGTGAACAACGGACATTTGTGATGTAGGCGACAGTGTGAACAACGGACATTTGTGATGTAGGTGACAATGTGAACAACGGACATTTGTGATGTAGGCGACAGTGTGAACAACGGACATTTGTGATGTAGGCGACAGTGTGAACAACGGATATTTGTGATGTAGGCAACAATGTGAACAACGGACATTTGCTGTGTAGGCGACAGTGTGAACTACTGACGTTTAGGATGTAGGTGACAATATGAACAACGGACATTTGTGATGTAGGTGACAGTGTAAACAACGGAAATTTATGATGTAGGTGACAATGTGAACAACGGACATTTGTGATGTAGGCGACAATGTGAATAACGGACATTTGTGATGTAGGCGACAGTGTGAACAACGGACATTTGTGATGTAGGCGACAATGTGAACAACGGACATTTGTGATGTAGGCGACAATTTGAACAACGGACATTTGTGATGTAGGCGACAATGTGAACAACGGACATTTGTGATGTAGGTGACAATGTGAACAATGGACATTTGTGATGTAGGCGACAGTGTGAACAACGGACATTTGTGATGTAGGCGACAATGTGAACAACGGACATTTGTGATGTAGGCGACAATGTGAACAACGGACATTTGTGATGTAGGCGACAATGTGAAAAACGGACATCTGTGATGTAGGCGACAATGTGAACAATGGATATTTGTTATAACGCGAGAATGTTAACTCAGGACATTTAGTGTGTGTGTATGGCTATGTGAATTACGGGCATTTGTGGGAAGGTTAGAATGTGAACAACAGACGTATGTGACAAGGTGAACAACGGAAATATATGATAAAGACGACAATGTGAACAACGGACTTTTATGATGTAAGTGAAAATATGAACAACGGAAATTTATGATATAGACGACAATGTGAACGACGGAAATTGATGGTTTTTAAGTGACTATGTGAACTATGGACATTTATGATATAGATGGCAATGTGAACAACAGACATTTATGATGTAAGTGAAAATGTGAACAGCGAACATTTATGATGTAAGTGAAAATGTGAACAACGGACATTTATGATATAGACGGCAATGTGAACAACGGACATTTATGATATAGACGGCAATGTGAACAACAGACATTTGTGATATAGACGGCATTGTGAACAACGGACATTTATGATATAGACGACAATGTGAACAATGGACATTTATGAGATGGGTGACAGTGTGAACAACTGACATGTATGTTATAGATGGCAATGGGAACAGGGGATATTTATGATGTAAGTGAAAATGTGAAGAACGGACATCAGTGATGTAGGTGACAATGAGAACAACGGACACTTATGATGTAAGTGACATTGTGAACAACGGACGCTTATGATGTAAGTGACATTGTGAACAGTGGTCACGTACGATGTAGGCGCCAATGTGAACAACATGCATTTAGTTTGAGTGCATGGCAATGTGAACAACGGAAATCATTCTTGTAGGTGAATCAGGTGAACACCGGACAAATATCGTATGTGCCTGACAATGTAAACAACCGGCATTTATCTTGTAGGTCTGAAAAAGTAAACACTGAAATTTATCGTCTGTTTGACAGTGGGAAGAACTTCTTCTTCTTCTTCTTCACGTTCACCAGCTGTACACTCTGGCAGATGCACTCCGACTTCAAAGGAAGCTCCCCAATTAGTCGAATCTTACGACATGCTTTTGGGGAGCCAGTGGGTCTATTCTTGTTTTCCCCACAATGGGACCCGGGAACCCACACGGGGGAGTGGGAAGAAATGACTTCTATGTTATAAATCTGACAATATAAACAATGGATAGTTGTCTCGTAAGTTTCACTAGATGAACAAGGGTGTTGTAACATGTCCGACAATGTCAAATTTCAACAATGTGATATTGGATAATATGAGGTTTGACAGTATGAACTTTGATGAAATATTAACATTGACAAATGGGAATTTTTACAGCCATCATGAACCTAAAACAATGAACAATGATAAAACTACATACAACATCACGTATAATGACTTAGATTTTTGAAGTGTCCATACAAGCTTCATAATACAGGCTGCTGGCTTTCACTGTGTTTTCATAGATATACTGCAGTTCCCTAGTTCACTCTCAGTAGCGTTTACCCAGCAGTGTGGCACGATTGATGCTCTAGCACAATAATCAAAGTGGTACTACACGCAGAATGGCAAACTACTGGACGTAAATTTGCCTAGAAAAACCACACAAAAACCGGGGGCTGTTGGGGTTGGTTCTGCAACGTCCTGTAAAGGATACGCAACTAACCTTAACTACACGAACAACATCCTGCGATAGGAATTACTTCTTTGTGGTTACATTGCTGGACATCTGGATTTTGTTCTGGAGGATGCTGCATTTTGAGGACAGCGTCGCGTGTCTGCTCTTGACCTGCTGCAGCTTGTTGGCAAGATCAGCCACTTTCTCTTTCTTCAGCTCGTAGTTAGTCAGAAGGGACTTGTTGCCCAGAAGGCCACACTCCTCACGTAGTTTGGCATTTTCGGTCCTCAGAACATCCCGCACCCGTTTCAGCTTGGCCAGATTTTCTCGACTCTGGGGATATCAAGTGGTTGGTAATTTAGCATTTATTGTAGGGAATCGATTGAGACTACATCGGCAGCAAACTTTCTTAAATATCTCATTTCTGAGGCCCGAAGCTGGCTTTTAGATGCCGTTCATCGCACAATAACAAAAATTACTATTATTAGCATATCTGGGCAATTAATTTAAGATTAATCTCCTTGAGCGAACTCTGCCCCTAGAAAAAACGGTGCTTTAATAATATCTTACCCCCAGCAGGGGAAATCCACAGGTCATGGAACAGTCTAATATTTCAGGGGGTGGTAGATAGGCTGCATGCAGTCGTGATATCCAGGCTGTATGCAGTCGTGGGACCTAGGCTGCACTCTCTCTTGGGGCGTAGGTGGGTTTGGGTTAAGGCCAGTTCTAGATGTTTTGAGGTCGTTAAAAGCATCAGAAAGCCGGGAAACCCAGTCTTACCACACTCTAAAATGTTGGACTGTCCTGTGACGACATCTGGGGGCAAGATGTTAATAAAAAACCGAAAAATATTTTATCTGATATAACAAGTAACAGTAAGGTCCCTTTTCCCTTTAGGAGTATTGGGAATATAAGGCTAGACCTATATTTTTATAGACCAATAGGCACTTGGTGAGGGATGTGGGCAGCATCACGCCGGTCGCCTTTATTTCCCAAGACTGTACCTTGTACCCACTCAAGGCTGCGTCGACCTGGGAGTCAAGGTCATTTTTTAAAAAAAGAAAAAAAGCCCGGCTTCCTCAGGACGCGAACCCACGATCTTCCGATCCGCAATCGGGCGTCTAGCCGCCAACGCCACGGCAACTCCGATATATCTGATATTCCTACCACACTAATAATAAAATTTATTTAAAATGTAATATTACTATTGAGCAGTTAAACAAGGCTTGAGCGCATTGAGAACATCCATCGCCCCAATTTTTTCTTTATGGCGGCGCACATGTAACAGCAGTAGTAGCAGGAACAGTATAAGTAGCAGTAATATTAGCAGCAGCAGCACATCACAGTAATAGTTGCTGCAGCAACACCAATACACGCAGGAGGAACAGCAGTAGTGCATACCTAGCAGAATGTGCATGTTTAAACAAACATGTTTTCTTTGGCAATGTTCTTCAACCTAGTTAGACACTCGGGTCGGCAATACAGAGGAAATTATGGTTCATTATTTTATATTCTTCTTCTTATTCTTCGCTCACCAGCTGTACACTCTGGCGGAAAGTTATGGTTGTTTGTCCACTTCTGAACTGCAGTCCTGCTCCAGAACTTGAGTGCTGCATGTGCATCAGTTTTACAGATCTGATTCACTTGCGTGCAGACTGTTGGTTCCTTGCCTCTCAGGCAGACGCACTCCGACTTCAAAGGAAGCTTCCCAGTTAGTCGACTCTTACAATATGCTTTTGGGTAGGCAGTGGGTCGATTCTTGTTTTCCCCACAATGGGGATTTTGTATTTACTTCACACACGCGGAATGCCGGAGTTCACCGGACAGTCCAATATTATAGTGATATTACGGTTTAAAATGAACACCTTCTAGTCTTACCCCTAACATCCCTATAATGTTCGACTTCCCTGGGAACTCTGGGATTCCCCCATGTTTGAGGTGAATTTAAAAAAAACATAAAGAACCGAAATAGTTTCGCGGACTGTATGACAGCTAACAGAAAAAAATTTTAAGTGAAGGACCATCTCCCACGTCTTCAGGCGTATCGTCCATACATGGCTACATCTATATTCTATAGTCAAATCGATACTTGTTGGATGATGTGGTCAGCAACTCGCCGGCCGCCTTGGCCTTCCAGGACTTTTACCTGGTACCCACTTAAGGGTGGGTCGACCTGGAAGCCAAGGTTATTTCTGAAAAACAGTCCGGCTACGTCAGGACCCGGACCAACCACCTTTCGATTCGCAGGCGAGCGTCTAGCCGCTACACCACAGGAGCTCCAGTCGGAACCTTGTAGCCGCTACACAACGGGAGCTCCGGTCGGAACCATGTAGCCGCTACACAACGGGAGCTCTAGTCGGAACCATGTAGCCGCTACACAACGGGAGCTCCAGTCGGAACCATGTAGCCGCTACACAACGGAAGTTCCGGTCGGAACCATGTAGCCGCTACACAACGGGAGCTCCAGTCGGAACCATGCAGCTGCTACACAACGGGAGCTTCAGTCGGAACCATGCAGCTGCTACACAACGGGAGCTCCAGTCGGAACCATGTAGCCGCTACAAATTCAGGCTTATTCAACTTAGCTTAGTGAAGGACCAAACTGCTAAGAATGAGGATCATCCCGGGCCAGATTCCGAAGCCCCGTCATAGGAAGATCATTAATACAATACAACCATCAGTAAGCCGCGAGCCACTTGCTAGGCCTCCGCGGGTCGGATCTGGTCAGGGGGCCCCAGTTGAATACCCTTGTGCAACATGTTTAGGCATAATTTAGTTGTTGTTGTTGTTGCAGGGCCACAAGTTGAAAAAAAAAAAAAAACAGCTTCAAAACCGTGCTGTCCCGCGTGACCAGTCTCACGGATATAAGGTTCAGGTCTGTGGGTTGGCGGGCTATTGCATTGTGGTTTCCTTAATCTGAAATGTGTCATGTCAGACAGGGTTATTCAGTCCACCGATCAATTATAATGTTTCTCAGTATGCAATGCCAATCCTCCATTCGTGAACAGTTTATAAACCTATTCTTGGAACCAGGGACAGACTCCCACGTTCAACCCCACCAACACGACACAACGGGCGATAAAAACTGGGTGACACAAAACGCCACCATTCGGATGAGAATTAACCCAGCGCAAGCCCCATAAACCCCGTTTAACTCGTATATTATATTTAGGGCCCCCAACAACAGCAGGGGCACGCACGGCTTTAAAGTAAAATAAACATTTTTTTTTAAAGTATCCCACACTGGGACGGCGATATTGAGGTAAGGTAGGTAAGCTGCGTCCCACCAGGACATCATGCAAGCTATAAACACCCGGTGACACAAAGTGTCACCATGCGGATGAGGATCACTCCTGGAGAGGTCCCGGACACCCTGTTCAGCCGTTAGACCATATTTTAGGCCCGGCTATATTAAGGGCCCCCGGCAAAAGCCAGGATAGGGCTATAAAATAACCCCCCAAAAAATTGCCTCCTACTAACCTCAGCTCCCAGTTTTAAGCTCCCCCCCTGGCAAAAGCCAGGATAGTGCTTCAAAACTCCGATGGAAAGTTCTGGTTGTTCGTCCACTTCTGGACTGCAGTCCTGTTCCAGAACCTGAGTGTTGCGTGTGGATCCGTTTGACAGATCTGTATGCAGACTGTTGGTTCCTTGCCTCTCAGGCAGATGCACTCCGACTTCGAAGGAAGCTTCCAATTAGTCGACTCTTACGACATGCTTTTGGGTAGGCAGTGGGTCTATTCTTGTTTTTCCCATAGTAGGGCCCCGGAACCCACACGAGGAAAGATCTTAGATAAAACCGATATTGTTTCTAGGTATATGCAGATGTGTGCATTGTGTCCATTTTTAAAAAAAAAACATAATTTGAGTTTGTCAAACCATACAACGTATGCTGCAGAAGCTGTCGGATTAAAAGAGCTATGCTCTGCCCGCATGTCGGAACTTCCCTCTTAGATCCGCTGCCAACAACGGCTAAGGGCCGAAACATTGTTGTCGTGTTCTGATTTTATGTCATAGAACAGACAAGGCTAGTCTCCTCCCCTACAATGTCTTTCTGCCCTAAGTTGTTGACACAATGTAGGAGGTAGGGTGTCAGGTTTTACTGATCATACTCACCTGACATCCTACACTGTGCCAACAACTTCGTGCGAGGGGCGTTCTGGGGAGCAAGCTAGCCTTATGTGTTCTATAATTCATAATGTGAAAGTCATGAAAGTCATGGGGGAAAAAAAGGGGGGGGGGGGGGGGAATAACTATCGAAGGAATGGGAAATGAAACTCTAGCGTGTTCCTCGCGAAGTAATGAGAACAGAAGGTATAACATTCTTCACGAAGTAGTGGGAAGTGAAAGCGCGACAGTCTTTCGTTGTTATTCACAGACATCGCCATTTTCCGGGAAAATCGCAATTCGCTGAAACACACAATAGTAGCAGCCAGCTTCTAAAACAGTCGAACAGCCAGCTTCTATCTAGGCAGGGCGTCACACGATCTGCATGTTCCATTAAACTTTATAAGGTTTATTGTATTCAAGGTGACTCGTAGCAAAGAACTGGATGCCAACCATCAGGGCATCTTTAAGATGTAACATTTCCTATCAGTGTGTAGTCAACGAAGATGGTTAGCTTCACCTCCCCGGAATTTATCTAAAATGGTTAGCCCTCTCCCCCCCCCCCCACCCCCTTTTCCCTTATTTCCGCATAGCAGCATTTTCACTGTCTATTCTTTTCTTCTTTTTCCTCTTCTCTTTTTTTCCTTCTTCTTCCTCCTCCTCCTTCTCCTGCTCCTCCTCGCGTCCACACTTTTCGTGTCAGCACTTTTATTGCCTCTGATGCCACAGAGAGATTAAACATACTGAAGGTGAGCTTCTGCCTTTTCTGACAACATAGCAAGTTTCCTTGTTATAATCTGTAGAGTACTGTAAGTAGAGTTTGACTTTAGAGCATGTATGGCCATTGAGTTGACCGTATGTCTCGATTCCTCCCCACCAAAAATTGGTTGACACATTTTGTTTCTGAGGACAACTTGTATCGAGTTTCCTTCTCTAGACAGTTGCAGTCCCCTGCTGATGAAAGTCTAGCTTCCTGGATAGCGAACTGCCGCGATCAAAACATTGCGAAGGCAGCATGGTCGAGGCTGCCAAAACTATCGGTCCTTATTCTGTCCCGGCATAACCCGGCTACAGTGCACGCTGCTCCTACGAAAAACACACAGCAGTACATGATCAGGGAACAGAACAGTATGAGAGATATCACAACCATTGAAAAATAACACTGCTGCTATTCGCCATTTTGAAAACCGTTCCTCTTGTGGATTTCCAGCTGTACGTTAGGCATGGCT